CTTCTCAGGCATGAAGGTCTAGTCAGAGACATATTAGAGGTAGAAACAGGAATTAAGAGGGGTAGAGGTACACGTAGATCAGATTACTGTTCAGAAACAGTTAAGCATGTAGGATGTTCTAGTTTTAGATAAATACGAAGAATAGCTCACGGTAGGAAAGAGTGGAGCAGCATGTCTAACTACTCTTATTATGACTGACGATCATACAAGAATGATGATGAATGAAAATTGGTAATTAAGATTTTATTGGGATAGGTCGTTTGTCCTAAATTGCATTATTTATTGATTACTATGCTAAATTATTTACTATTTCGATAGAGTTCTTGTGAACAAAAATACATCAGCATGACCGAACTGTTACAATTTCTGTCTCTTGTTAGTATTTCGGAGTTGATTAACGATAACTTATTAGCAGTAATTTTGTTACCTTGCAGACTGTTAGTGCTTTTAAATATTAGGCTCGGTTCAATGGTTTCAACTCAACCCTCTCATTGAAAATCCGCCAACCAAGAATTAAAATTTCATTGGTTTGAACGACTTTTTTAACGAGATTTGATGTGGTTTCAGACGTTGTACGGATGGTATTTCATGAAAAATTCGTCAGAACAGACAATTATCGTTTTGATCCGATACATCTCTGATTTAAAGGGCAATCTTTTAACCTTCATTAATCCCACATAAATTAAAAACCGATTTAAAGAATAATAAAAATTTAGCTACACTTGTCTTAGAGTAAACAATTTAAAACAAGTATATTTTAGCCTACTTTTAACAAATCTATAAATCTGCTTGAAACTAATGCAAGAAACGGATAAAAGAACAATTTATTATAGCATGTAATGACCATACGTGCACTGTACAGTATCGTAGCATCCCATTATGTTTTAAGGCCTTTTAAAATACAATTTAAACTTGCTGAACCTTACATTTATCGTTTCATAAAAATCGATTGGAACGTTTTACATTTTATAGCAAACAGAAATGTTATTGTCATCGACGTTTTACTGGTGTGGCNTAACTTATTAGCAGTAATTTTGTTACCTTGCAGACTGTTAGTGCTTTTAAATATTAGGCTCGGTTCAATGGTTTCAACTCGACCCTCTCATTGAAAATCCGCCAACCAAGAATTAAAATTTCATTGGTTTGAACGACTTTTTTAACGAGATTTAGGGTGTGTTCCGAAATATAACCCAGCATAGTGGCCAGTGCTAATGACGTCATGAATCGACGCCATACTGTTGATTCGTTCCGAAATATATTGGCCAGTGCTTTCACGTCAAATTGACGCCATATTGAGAATAGTGCTTGTGCTCGTTTACAACACTTTTGCTCCAAGTTTCTTACAACAAAAAATTCCTCAAAGTGAGATACACACACATCCGTTTGATATACTACTACGTCACACTTGTCTCACCAGTACAATATGGTGGCACACCAGTACAATATGGCGTCGATTCATGACATCATCAGCACTGGCCAGTATGCTGGGTTATATTTCGGAACACACCCTTAATGTGGTTTCAGACGTTAGTACAGATGGTATTTAATGAAAAATTCGTCAAAACGAAGACAAGAATAGACAATCAACGTTTTGATCCGGTACATCTCTGATTTAAACGGCAATCTTTTAACCTTCATTACTGCCACATCAATTAAAAACCGATTTAAAGAAAAATAAAAATTTAGCAGCGCTACACTTGTCAACAATTTAAAATAAGTATATTTTAACTTACTTTTAACAAATCTATAAATCTGCTTGAAACTAATGTAAGAAACGGATAAAAGAACAATTTATTATAGCATGTAATGACCATACGTGCACTGTACAGTATCGTAAAATCCTATTATGTTTTAAGGCCTTTTAAAATACAATTTAAACTTGCTGAGCCTTACATTTATCGTTACATAAAAATCGATTGGAACGTTTTACATTTTATAGCAAACAGAAATGTTATTGTCATCGACGTTTTACTGGTGTGGCCATTGCGCACTCGTCGCGTCGCGCCGCGCGATTTTACGATCTTTAAACACTACTTACGAAAGCTATTGTTATATCCTGACGTAAAAATGTGGACGATATTGACACACATTTCGGATGTACATACAAGTCACCGCACAGCTGAATGTGACCGCAAATCGACTTACCTTCAAGTTCATCAACCCAGCCTTCCGTGACAACTCTATCCGGTCTCTAACCTTCTCAATCGTTTACAAACGTTTCATTCATGCTGTCGGTAGTCGCCAAAAGAAGGATAAAACCATACAATGCAGCTTTTAAATAAGTCAAAACTAAAGCTTTTACTTTTTGGAGAAGCCAAAAGTGTTCAACAAACTAGTCGTAAAAGATTAGCAAAGGTAAAGGGCATTACGGTAGGGGTATGGGTGGAAGTGTCTTTCAATGCCAAAATAGATCTTTGTTTTGCCAAGTAACATTTTAGATGATCTGGATGATTATTATGGCATTTCGTTCTTGGCATTTTTTCTTTGTGTCGTACTAGCGAAAATGCATTTTCTCTGAAAACTGTCCTAAACCAGCCGAAGTTTTTGAAAAAAGCGAACACCCCTCATCATCATCATAAGGTCGTCAGTCCTAAGACTGGTTGGATACGTACCTACAGTTTCCTATCCTGAACTAAACTTCACATTTCCCTAAAACATGAACAACCCACATCCTTAACTATATGCGAACAGTAATCTAATCTAGGTCTACCTCTACCCCTCCTAACTCCTGTTTCTGCCTCTAATATGTCTCTGACTAGACCTTCATGCCTAAGGTATACCTCTACCCTGGGAAGGTGTCCTACCAACCTATCTCGCCTATTTTTTATTGACTTCCATAGAGTCCTCTGTTCTCCTATTCTTTCCAATACCTCTTCATTTCTAACCTTTTCTACCCACGATATCCTCATCA